TATTATTTTCATATGTCTTAAAGATAACGCACTGAAGATAAAAAGTCCATTTCAGCAATCCTTCCTTTGAAGGTGCAGTAAAATATGGCGCTATCACAACATTCACAGCTTATAACTCTGTAAATCTGTCTTTCCAGCACAACACTTTATGATTATATAACTCTGGTATTTTACATAAAAATTTTAATGCTCAAAAAGTAAATTATGTATTCCGCACCTGCATTCCCTAGAGAGATTTACATGCGCTGTATAAATGATTTTACACTGCTTAAGCAATACCAATCATAAGTTATGTGCGGAAACATTAAAATCCCCTGCTCATAACAATAGTTTACCATGAAAGCAATGTATTTTGTACAGCAGTGTAATTACAACATACATCAATAGTGCTATAACTAGATGCACTGGGTTTTTTGTGCTTCATACACTTTTAATGACTTGCTCTGCTTAGAATACGGCATTTAAATTAAAAAATTAAAAATTTAGAAGTGGATTGCATCTTTTCCTCTCTAGATAGGACAGTATTAATCCCCTGCGGGATCATTTGTAAGTAAATACTGAACCGATACTAGCCAGATAATGTGCCTTTAGTTAATTGCGCTATTACAATATTTTGAGCCCGGGTCTCATAATGTCACTAATGTCATTAAATATTTATAGAGTCCTTTATTTTAACAATTTCCCTCTTTGTTTTACTGTGTCTGCCACTACTTAGCGTTTTGCTCAGATGTCTAGCGGGCAAAGCCTATGCATTGATAATGTGCTTGTCTCTCATAGTGATAGAAGGCTAGGGTGTTCTGAGCTGCCTGGAAACATAAGAAGCCACTTACTGCTTGTTTGCCTGTGATATGACCACCATGGGAAATATGGGGGTGTTGGTATATGTGTAGCTTATATATACATATCGATCTCCCAAGCTATAAATATGTCAGTGCATCTAAATTCAAGAACAAAATTGAATACATTGCAGTTTACCACTCATTAGATGTTAGGGGTTGAATTTGTTTTATTTTTTTCAGGCTTTTTTTCCTATATTCTCATTCTGTGATCCACACTTCCTGTCCTACAATGACAAAACTCACCGTACTGTATCTTTCCTTATCTCAATAATAACACAGAGGGGTAGATTTACTAACACTGGAGCACTCGTAATCTGGTACAACAGTGCATGGTAGCCAATCAGCTTCTAACTTCAGCTCAGTGGTGTCCCAAGGGGGGTTCGGGGGTGCGAGCCGCTCCGGGTGACACCATCACAGGGGGTGCAGGAGCAGGATGCCAGCAGAGTTTCTGAGCTCTGTGAAGGTTCTGGCCAGTTATTGGGGTGATCCTGGATTCCCGGCACAGTGACAGCTGCCCCCCCGGTGTAGTGGTAAAATGAGTATCCCCAACACGTGAAGATATGCATCCCCTGAAGCAACTGCGCATGTGCTGGTTTCAGGCCGAAGAAACCGATCGCCAATCTCCGACTTTAGCACAGAGCTACCACAGTTAACCCCTTACAGGCTGCAAACCGCTGAAGCTGATCCAGCGGATCACTATAGGTTGTATGATCAGTTAACCCCGTATAGGTCTAGTAAACATCCCGGGTATGATAAAATTTGAAACACGAAAATCATAAATTATAATATAATAAATAATCATAAAAAATAATAATATAATAATAATAATAAATTTAATTCAAACCAAAGACACTGAAATTTGAAATAGAGCGCCAAGTTCGCACATCACTGAGCTTAGTCGCAAAATCGTTTTCAGTGTCTGATGACAAATTTCCCCACAAATCATTATCACTCAATTCTGCAAGTAGTTCTGATTTACTATCGCTGTTCTCTAGCTGGTCTAAAACCTCTTTTGACCTAAAGGGACGCTTTTTGGACGCCATGGACTTTTCTTAGTTTCCAGGCAGAAAGAACAGTAAAAATGCAGGCAGGGCACAGGACAAAGTACTAGGGACAAAATGTGAAATGGTTTGATACAGTAATGTTATACTATGAGATTTTAGCGTATTGAGTGAATGTCACTTTTAAAATTTTCGAATTTCCCACTGGTTCCGTCCCCCATATGTCACAACGCTTGCAGGGAACGTAACCTGGAAGACGGATGCTAGCATCGGCCAGAGGAGATGGCCGGGGACGCTGCAGGGGGGACATCACGTGAGCGCAGGATAAGGTAAGTGCTGGAGGGAATCCCTGAGCAATGCTGCATGGTAATCCCAAGTGTAGCTCAGGGTTACCGCTTCTGGTACTGAAAGTTAACCCCGAGCTACACTCGGGAATACCGCCAAGGGGGTTAATACTGCCTCAATCTCTTTTCTTTCAAGTCAATAACAATACTTTGATAGAACAACCAAACTAAACTAAATAAATATTGATATTTACCCAGGGACGTAGATAAGGAAGGGGGGTCAGGGGGGTTCAACCCCCCCCCCCAGAGCATCCTGTTCATGTACCAAGTGCTGCTGCACCGCTTGTCAACAGTGCCCAGCAAGAATGGCAGAGAGGTGCATAGCTTTTTTTTTCAGCCAGAATCTCTGGTGCAGGCCCCTCACTCTGCTGCTCACTACTGTCACTTATAAACAGAGAAGCCCTGCTTCTGAATTTATGAGTGATAGCACTCTCCCAGCGCTGGCAGTATGCAAAACCCTCCCTGCACATGACAGAAGAGGAGAGGGTGGAATAGTGGTATATCCTACAGTGTGATTGCTGTTCTTAGCTACTAATGTGTCATATTATGGCCTACCATAGCCCTGCACTACCATTAGCCATCTCTGGCAGTGTAAAGTCAGCACACACTTCCCTGGCATTCTATTGGCTGTCGGTCCTGGGACACTGAGCCGCTTCCATGTCCAGTTCATGCAGTATGCTGCTCAGATCTCTTCTCCCCTGCTGTTCTAGAGATGGGTGTACTGCTGTAGCTTGCCTGTAATGGACATCTCCAGGATCTTCTCAACCTTATCAAGTACTCTGGGGATACCAAAGTGCACCATGGTATGTGACACTCAGTGTGCACAGTACAGTCACAGAAAGCACACTATACTCACACAATGTACACTGCACACATACATAGAGCATCAACAGCCCCACTTAGTACAAATACCTTTCCCCCCCCCCCCTAGCACCAATGGCCTCCCTCTCTCCACACCTATCCCCAATGTCTCCACCTACCATTTAGCACCAATGGCCCCACTCTTTGCACACTTAGCACCAATTCCCCCCTCTTCTCCCATTTAGCACCAAAGACCCCCACTCCCTCACTTAGCACCAATGTCCCCCCTCTGCCACAATTTAGCAACAGTGCCCCCCACTTAGCACTAATGCCCCCCACTTAGCACAAAGGTCTCCCTTCTTCCCCACTTATCCTAAATGTCCCCCCATCCCCCTAATTAGCACTGATGGCCCTCCCCATCCCCAAGTAGCATAAAGGTTCCTTGTCTCCCAACACTTAGCACCAATTTCCCCCTCCCCTCACTTAGCACTAGTGTCACTCTCACCCCCACTGAGCAGCAGTGCCCCCCCCCCACTTAGTACCATTGTTTCCCCTCTCCCCCCAATTGACACATTACCCCCCTCCACTTAAGCACCAATCCCCACTCCAACTTAGCACCAATATCTCCTTTCCCCTCATCTTACCACTAATGCCCCCCTCCCCACTTAACATTGCACTCATACTGTAAGTTGTAAGTTGTAGTTATTGATACCCACGCGGCTCTTAGTGCAAGTTTCTTTTATGAGGTTCTGACCAGTTTTTTCACTAAATACGGTTTGCTAAATAATAAACTATTGCGAGGTAAATGGACTTTCTTTTTACCATCAAGGATATTACAACACAATATAAATGTAAAAGCCAAATGTCTTTTTTTCCTCTGCTTGATCTGCAAAAACAGTTGCAACTGACGACAGTTTACTTTATTTTTTTAAGTGTTTCTTAAAGCCAGAAGGTTGGAACGTTAAATAAAAATAGTTTTGAGGCATGTCTTTGATTAGTTTTTTTTTCTACAAAAGTAAACAATTGAATGAACATTTTCCAAGAGTGGTGATTCCATATTTTTTGCCAGAGGCTGTATTGTCATTAAAGCTTCCTTAAAAGCTTACAAAATTTGCTCCAATAGTTCCCTCACGACTAAACCATTGTTCCCATAGCAGTATATTCCAATGACATATTGATGTTAATACATGATAGTAACAAATACATAGTCAGGCAATCTCAACATGTTTCTCGGATGACACACTTCTGCAGAAATACAATTATAATATACATACCAATATATCATTACTATTATAATGCAAAACTGCTGGGAAGGATGGAATATTCAAAACTTACCCAATGAAGCCAAGTGGGTAAGAAAAAGGTCAGGTGTAGAGGGGCAAAAGGCCAACCTTCCCCCGAAGAGCATGGGAGTGATGTATGAACTTACATATGGTCATCGCCCAGGCTTGGCTGGTACCCAGGGCTTGCAGTCTAAAGCAGGTATGTTCTGATATTATGATTATAGTCTTTTTCTTAGCCTACCATGTTGAGTATTTTTTAAAATTGATAACAGAAATGGTTCTAAAATAAAATAAAAGACTTTCACATAAATAGAACTGAAAATGATTAAGAAGGACTACTATATCATGATGTTTCATTGCAAAGCTTAGTGTGATAAATTATAATAATTTTCATATGTATTTTTAAACTCCTACCTGTGTAATAAATCTGACTGTATTAGTGTTAACTCTTAGATTTATGATCATTTAAACTGTTTTGATTTCAGAACATTGTTTAAAATATTCACGCTTTTTTTTTTATTTGCGTCTGGCTGAGTTAACAAGCTCTTAAACTAGGTCATCTATTAAATGGGGATGCTGCCCTGTGCTATACATTTCTCTGTCTGTTCACTTCTTCTATATGTGATGAGCAAATCAGATTGATTGTTCTTATTACCTGAAATATAGTGCTTGATTGAAAATCAGCACCATAGCATTCAAGAGGTCCTGTGGGGAGGATGCTAACATAATGAGCAGCAGAAAGAATGACCTATACTCAGGGGTGGACTGACAACTCATGGGGTCCCCGGGCAATAGGGGATCATGGGGCCCCTGTGTCCTTGCCAAAACTAAAAAAAGACTATGAAAAAGGTACCAGTGGCATCTCATGGGGCCCCCTACTGACCTCGGGCCCTCGGGCAGTGCCCGAGTTTCCAAATGGTCAGTCCGCCCCTGCCTATACTACACCATATTTGACCTTGAGGCTAGGTTCACACTTGTGGGCTGGTTTCGGGTGCAGGAATCGCACCTGTTTCCACACGCACAACCACCCACAGCCGAATCGCAGTGCTCTCACGAGACACACGGGAATGCCATTCATTCTGAATGGCACTCCGAGGCATCACAGACTGCAGCGTGATTGAGGGTGTGGGAACTGCAAGGAAATTGCATGGTCAAAAAAACCATGTAGTTTCCCTGTGGCTGCTTTTTCAAAAAGGTGCATGCATGTGCTGCTGTGCCAGAGGAAACACAGGCCGTACGGCCCACAATAGTGTGAATCGAGCCGTAAAGTGTTACTAAACCCACAACAGTATAATCAGTCTGTATATGCAGTAAAGTATGCTTGTTATACTCATTGTGGAACCTAAGGGGTTAATCCTCTGCATTGTTTAAAAAGGCTGTTTGATCCTGACTTCTCTGCCCCTCCTCTTGTAGAAATGTCCACCTGATACGGACTGAATCCATAGTCACATGCACATGCTCAGTTTGGTGTGAATTGCTAGAGAGGTTTTTTTTTTCTTGGGAGAGTGCATGTGATCAGCACGGGGCCAATCTGCACTATCCAGACAGAGGGTCAGAGGTTTCAATTCCTCCTAGAGCAGAAATAAAACTCCTCCTACAAGCTTTAACCAGTGCTCTGCTGAAGTCACAAGACTGCTATAACTGCTGATGAGAAAAGGTATTTATAATATTTTAATTAGGTGCCAGGTATTTTACAGCCATCCCCAGGGTACCCCTATTAGGAACATGTACATCCTCCCACTCTTAGGGGTGTGTGTTTGCACTCGAGGACACAATTTAAATAGTTATTGCCAAGAATTAAAGTGAGACTTTTCTTTGTGCCATTTCTGCTTTTCACAATTGATGCGGTTTATATCAATGCTGTGTATACCAGTTTAATTTGGTTCAGCCTTATTATCATAGTTGAGCCTAATATTCCCATGAGTTAGTCTAATGCATCCTAACACATTCTCTGACCTGTTTATTGGTTTGTGTATTGTGTTTATTCTACCTTGCTATAATATACTTACTTTATCTACCATCTAGTTGTCTGTGGTCTATTTCCTAGATGCTAATATAGTGTGGTAGTATACAAGTCATACAGGTGTGTGCAGCCTTCAAATTATATATATTTATATCCAGGTGTGTCAAAGGGGACAGAGTGGTTTGCGAAATCATTGCGAACCCATCTGACTAAGCAGGTCTTGGGGGGGTAAGCGCTAGAAATGCTAAGTGATAGATGCCCTTTGACTGCTTATATAACTGGTGGGTCTGCGGAGCTTCCCTATGCTATCAAATATGTCCCAAGTACCAACTGGTAATAGAAAGCTCACCAAAAATCTAGCTTTGGGTGTTTGGTGCACCATTTGTGGCTCCAATGACCTGACTTTAATGTTTTTTCACAATAATAAACATCTAATTACCGATCTCCCTTTAATCTAACCCTAAAATATACTGTAGCTCCTAATTTTTAAACTTAACCTTAATACTCACTGTAATGCTCTAATCCTTTATCTTAACCTGAAAATCTACCCTCAGCCTATCTAGAACCTAATCCTTACCTTTAACCTCATAAATGCTAAACTTACCTTATCCAAGCAAAATGAATCAGTACCAGTCCTTGCAGTCCTACATGAAACACAACATCTATCAACCCCCTGCTCCTTAAATAGTTCATGGAATTACCCCTTTCCCTGCCACTGTATGGACCTACAGCACTGCTTCTAGCTGGCCAGGTCCGTACACCATACAGACCTGCATTCCTCCTCTGCTGTAAGCTCATGGTCACTTCAGTGGCTGCTGAACAAACTGATAGCTCTGATCAGTGGCTCACAAGCCACTGATCAGAGCTATTTACCTGAAATGTGACCCCCCTCCCCCCGCCACTTCTCTGCCGCTATGTATCCCACCCCTCTACTTACCTGTGCTGGCACCTAAAATGTCCCCCCGCCCCCCAACTCTTACCCCGTGCTTCACCTCCCCTACTCTGATCCCCCCAGCACCAACCCCCCCCCTCATAAATCCCAATCTCCCAATCCCCTTGTAGCTTCCCTGCAGCTGTCGGCTTCCCTCCTCTGCCCTCCTGCCAACCTTTGGTACTGCAAGGCAGACACAGAGCGATCCATCAGCCGAAATAGATTGCTCCTCCTGCTCTGACCCCCCTTCAGTGCCCCCCCACCTCCCTAATGCCACCCCACCTGCCCCCTCTCTGAAGCTGTTAGTAGCCGGAAGAATGCCTCCTCACATCCTGTTGTAACTCCATTGCCTATTACAGCTTAAGTGGGGGGGGGGGGGGGGCATTTGGTAGGTGGCAAAAACAGCTCAACTGCTCATTTTGCCACCCCAAACCAAGTCCTAAGGCCTTGTTCACACATGGCATAACACAGTGAGGCCATGTTTATCTGCACAGGGATGCACATGTTTTCCATGCATCCCTATATAGGAAGTCCCTTGATGTAATTTGGGACACAGCAGCTGTGTTCCGTGCCTTCCTGTGCAGGCAGTCCCATCCATATCAATTGGGATGCAGTGGCTGCATTTACACAGCCACTGCTCCCAACTTGACATCCATGTGGGTGAATGTCCCTAACTCACACTGTCTGCATTTGGGGCCATGCACCTACACCAGCATAGATGTCAGATCTGTCCTTGCAGCTGCTATGTCCCAGTTGACATGAAATGGACTGCCTGCACAGGAATGTACAGAAAACCTCTGCATTACCATGCAGGTAAACACGGCCCTCCATGGGGGTATGCTTTACCACACCCCATTGAATAAGGCCTTAGTAGGAATTTAGCAGGAATTTTGTAATTTATGTCGTGGTTTTGTGTGCAAATAAGGATTTTAGTGGGGTTTTGTTTAGTGAAAATAGCGATTTGATAAACATTTGAGCAACTATTGTGGTGCCTAAAAAAATTAGTAGCAACTTCTTTTTTTTCTACTGGTCATGTGCTTTCAGAAAATATATGGTTTGTACGGTCTTTTACAAACTCTGAAAAATAAAAACCTCTGGATTTTTAGAGACTTTTTTGCGTACGTTCAATTTTCATTATTTTGCAAAAAAGAGCAGTTTAAAATTTACAAATATTTGTTATTTAATAACTCAATACAGGTTAAGCTTTTATATTAAGTAGGAATTTAGTTGGAGTTTTGTAAAATTTGCTGTGTTGGTATCTGCTAATAATGATTTTAGTGTATTTTTAGCGAAAATATCACTTTGATAAACATTTGCCGAGACACCGCGGGGCCTTAAAAATCAGTAGCACCTTTTTATTCTACCTTCATTTTTTACTTTTTTTTTTTACTCAATGTTTTACTTTTATTCACATGCTTTCAGAAAATATTTGGTTTGCGGGGTCTTTTACAAAGTATGAAAGCTGTAAGTGAAAAATTAAAAACCTCTAGATTTCTAGAGAAATATAGTTATTTACAATTCTGCATACATTTCGATTTTCACCATTTCACAAAAAATTTAAAATTTAGAAATATTTGTTATTTATTAGCTCAATACAGGTTAAGGGGATGGCCTCAGCCATCACGCCAGCCACATGCATTTTGCCCTGCCCACCGGGGCTTGATCACATACTCCTCTATACTGATCACTGTCATGCCCTCTTTTTTCTCTCCCTGCAAATGAGTTAATAATTTAGCCTCATCACAGAGCATTCCAGTACCAGCATTGATAATTCCCTTTGGGAGCTGTAAGTATTAAACATATATATACATGGATTAGCAGAACTGTGGACTGGCTATCTATTTATCTGCATGCATTTTCCAGCATCAGCATGATTGATATGTCTTGCATTTGACAGCCATAGAATGTTTTTTCAAATCTGCATATTACCTCTGAGATCTGTATATCACTTCAGTTTCAATATATCACTTCAGTCTCATTATTATTTACTCACGTTGCACATTAGTTTATTTAAAGTCTATGATATTATCACCTCCAATTGTTAGTTTTATATTCCGGGACAGAAGAGATAGTTCACCATTACATATTTGGCCTTGTGCCATTCATTATATTAGCATGTTGCAGAAACAACTATTCACACATTAATTTTACTTACTGTTATAGTTAAATTTTTATGTTCCTTTTCTCCTTTTGTCCATTGTATTATTCTACACATTAGGTTGCTTTCTTATGCACCTATTTCTCATGCACTTATTTTTATATGCTAATTTTTCATGCATTAATCTTTCACTGGTCATCATCATTACTCATTGTGTTCTGTCATCACTTTTTATACATTTAAATATATTCTTTGGTTACATAGAGTCTTGAAACATTTTCACCAATATAGGGAGTGGGAGCACTCCTTCCAACTGTTGTTAATCAGGAGTTTTCTGTGCTCTTAATCATATGTATTGAACTCAAAGTTATCATGCATGCAATGATCATGCAGTTATCATGCATGCAATGAAAATCATGCAATGATTTTCAACCATCTCCTACTACTCACTCCATCCCCTATACACAGGACTACACAGGTGGTGAGAGTGGTGTTTCTTCTCCTCTCCCTATCGTAAGCTACTGGACTGACATTTGGACACTTGCACTTGCCGATGAGATAATTTCTCCGACACTCACATTTCACACTTACATTTCAACTCAATACAGGTTAAGCTTTTATATTTAGCAGGAATTTTGTAAAATGTGCTGTGTTTGTATCTACTAATAATGATTTTATTGTATTTTAGAAAAAATAATGATTTGATAAACATTTTCACAAATATAATGGGGCCCTAAAAATCATTAGCATCTTCTTTTTATTCTACTGGTCATGTGCTTTCAGAAAATATATGGTTTGGAGGGTCTTTTACAAACTCTAAAAGCTGTAAGGGAAAAATAAAAAAGCAATGGAAAAATTGCAAAAATGGTCTGGCCACTTGAGTTTAAAAGTGGCATGCAGGGCCTGGCTGTGAAAGGGTTAATACTGTGAAGTCAGTTCTATTGCTATAAGAGTA